AACGAGGATGTTGCATGTATATCGCTGCTTAATGTCTGTATGGCTCCAATTATGAGTGACGCACAGTTGGTAATGTGCAAGACGTACCCATTTACTATCTCGTTTGCACTTGGGCTTATAACTTTTAGGCAGCGAACATTGTTCACATTTGAGAAGATCAAAATTGTGCTGTGGCCTCTATTATTCCCTGGTCTTCTGGGTTAACTGAAGGAAGCGTTTGTTCTCGTTACCGAGTTAGAAAAATACGCTCAGCAGCCGACTACCTAACGGTCGGCTTAAAAGTAAACACGAAGTTGACATCCAATAACGCACCCCTAACATACAAAACATTATCCTGTTTATATACTAATGCCCATGTCCTTCTTAGTAAGTCGAACTCAGACAGCAACACGCTCCACAATTGCGGGACCTTATCATTACTATAGAGACCTATTTAGATCTTGAGATAACCGATCCCGACATCAATTTACCTGGTATTTCGCTGCGTCGGAACGATAGAATTGGAAAAGGTGGTGTGGTGTAATTCTTTATTACAATGCTAACCTTCCATTTGAGCTCACTGATCACCCAGAAAACCGCAGACCTGATTGGCTTTGGTGCTGGCTATGGTTGGGGAAAAAGGACACATAAGTTGTAGGTGTAAATTACCGTCCACCAAACGCTAGGTCGGGAAATGGACTCCAGAATGAACCAGTTTCTGCAGGTTGCTTTGAACAAATCACACATTCACCTTCACGTCGCGACAGACTGATGTGCACGACCTTGAAACGCTAGCAACTGATGGCGCCCAGTTCAAAGTCTGCATGCAAGAGCTAATTTCATAGCTACCCTATGAACAACCACGTCACCTCACCCACAAGATTTCGAAATGCTAACAAGCCGTCGACACTTGATCTTGTGCCCACCAACAAAGAACTTATGGTCGACGGGATAGTTACAAGCACACCATGGAAAAGACAGCAACCGATGGCGCATTCGAACCTGGACGATCTCCATAACTCTTATCCAAATCCAAAGGCTTTATTAAAACACACGCTTTTCGGCACTGCATCAAAGCTCTTTTGTTTTAAATTTTCAATATTTTATTCTGTAACCAAGGACATGATCGTTTACACTAGCGATACTTTGAAATTTTTGCGTGTTTCCACGCATATAAGTTGGGAACTTTATCCCACCAACCCACCAGAAAGAAAAAGAAAGGCATCAGCAGAGCGTCGGTACTGCGTACCGACGCCTTACGGCCGCGCAACCACCACCGGTTGAACGTGGGCTAAGGATACTGCGAGGGTCCACCGGTCCCTACGCAGGCTAGAACCCGCGCCCTCAGATTACAAGGCAGGCTTATGATCCTTAGAGCTGCGGGTCAGCAATGCTCCCACCGTTCGACATGCGCTTCGCATCTTCGAAATGCAAGTTGTTGCAGGAGCATTAGTCACTTGATGACCCTTCGACTTTTGACGATGGGAATCTAGAACTGATGACCGATTCAATTATCTTGGCGGGTATATTAACAACAATGGGCGTGTGGCTGCTGAAGTTAGTTCACATATTACGAAGGCTAGAACCACCTTCTTAAACCTGTGACATCTGGTGTCATAATGGGATATTCAGCAGTCCGGAAGGCCGTGTGCACAAGGCCACAGTGAGGACCATCCTACTCTATGAGAGTGATGGGAGCTTAATGACGACCACCATCTTCATCCCGAGAACAGATCACGGTGTACTATGTGAAATCAATCGAAGCACTAGCGTCATTGTAGATACCACCAACCTCCTCATTTATTTCGTTACATGATGGTGTACTGGTCCTAGAGGAAGTGCAATCATTGCAATCCAGACTAGCTTCCACGCAGACAGAGGATACGTAGATGAAATAGTTGCGCAGCGCTAGGTATGTAGAGCAGACTATGATGGTTTTCCTTGACTTGAAAGCCGCCTTCGACTCTGTTGACCGCGCCAGCTTGTGGTACAGCCTAGCCATGAAGGGCGTGCCGGAGAAATTCACTTTCATTATGCAATCTCTCTGCCGTGACTTTCGAGGCCGGGTAAGGGTCTACGGGAAAGTATCTCCAGTGTTCCTTACGACAAGTGGGGTTCACCAGGGTTGTTCCTCTTCAACTTCGCTATCGGAATGATCATGAGTAACTGCGTTCTTTCAGACTCTACTGGAGTGGAAGTTCTGCCAAGTGATCGAGTGACCAGCCAGGAGTATGCGGACGAGATAGCTCTTCCTGGGTCTGACGCAGTGGTTATGCAAATACTACTGGATAGACTGACATGTAGCGCTGCACGCTTCGATATGCACTTTGTACCTTCGAAGTGCTAAGTATTGTTGCAATATGGGACCGACACGCCTCTGGCACTACCTATCACCGAACAGCCACTGGAAGTGGTGGACCGGTTCACTTACTTTGGTGACTGTGTCACCTCTGGTGGTCCCATCACTGAGAAAGTTACTTCTCGTATCAGTAAGGCCCGTGTGGCTTTCCAGAGAGTCAACCATCTATGGAGACGGCGAAATATCAGCCTGTCAGTGAAACGTAGGGTGTATAACACTGCGGTAAGGCCGATATTACTGTAAGGATCAAAGACCTGGCCAGCTAAAGGTGGAGACATTAAACGCCTGGCCGTGTTTGACCACCGGTGCTTGCGGAGTACTGCTCACCTCTAGTGGGAACACCGGGTGAGCAATGCTGAGGTTTGCAAGTTGCTTTTTGGCAATAAGTCTTCTGGTATCTCACTTGAGTGTTTAGTGAATCTTAATCGCTTACGTTGGCTATGCCATGCACTCTGTATGCTCTTTGACAGCCATCGTCGGCGTGCATTATACGCCGTGGCTACACCAAGTTGGGCGAAACCGCGAGGTGACCAGTCCATGACGTGGCATAGGGGCATGAAGAAATTGACTGAGAGACTTGGTCAGATTGGTGCCTGCCGTCTTCGTGGATAGAAGCCTCGGGATAGTCCACATCAATAGTTGGAGACCGTACCAGACATGGCACAGTCACACTTTCAGCGGCATTCCTGTATTCGGTTTCTTGCAAACGGTGGTTAATTTTCGTTCCATTTTGATTAGTATAATGCACTTCCTTTTTACTTCCATATTCTCTATATTCTATTTGCCTTTAACCCACTATGTTGCCATTGTTAGTTATTGTTATTCTTGCGATGTGGGTCGTGGCAACTGGATCCACCGCACTTCGGCGCTTGGATCATAGTTGTTCAACTGAACTGAACTGAGATGTGGAACAGTGCCATTGGACAATCTGTCGTGAACAAGTTCCTTGACTTGAAAGCTGAAGTTGATTCGATGGGTTGTGCTAGTTCGTGGAGAGTTCAGCGTTTGAAGGATCTGAAGCCCTAAACCACGATGACTACTGGAGCTATACAGGAAGCTGGTTTCATTGTTAATCACGACAAGTAGAAAGAGTACGGATCGTCACATTTCTTCCTTTATCTTTAACTTTGGAACAGAAAAGACCTTGAACAACGTATGTATATCTGTATCTTCTGCGTTGAAGGTTTTCTCATGCAGAGTATAGGGCAAATCAGGTCCGGCGAAGTCTGAGGATCGAACCCAGTTCTCCTGCTAACGGCTAGGAACAGACTGAGCTAACGCACCGCACATTACGATATGTGCTGTGTCTATTCGAAAATGAAAAATCACGAATGCAGTTAGGCTGACATGCCAGCGAATAGGTAGTGAGATTAGATCGGTTCACAATTCGAAGCAACTGTATCATCAAAACGGTCGAGGCACTGGGGAGATCAACGCACGCGTCGAGAGAGCCCGCGCAGCCTTTAATGCATAACGCGGATAAACAGACGATACAGCTTTAGCTTATAATCTAATGATAATAATCGTTCGGAAGTATAATTTACAAATATTGCTGCAAAGACAATGTTGTTGTGCGAGTCAGTAGTATGGTTTATTGTGTGTTTAGGACGATTAGAGACTGGTTACCTTTGAGCACTGATATCCGCACAGCAACGCTTGGGCCTGGTAAGATCATTAGGTGAGGGGCACGAGTTGGTGTTCGGTAACAATCCAACTCGTGAAGCAATGGTTCAACATTTGAAGTCGAACCGTCTTTAGCAGCTAGGTAACAATCTTCGAAACGCCACTGACCGGCTACCTCCGCGTCTGCTGTTCAATAATACTACATGAAATTGGATGAAGCTTCCATGAAGGTAAGCCAATGACATGGCAGGAAGAAATCGATCAGAACACTTAGTTGATACTGCTCATGAGATATGCCTGAATGTGGCCAATGAGATGGGCTACATTAGTGATTACAGATGGCTCCCGACACGGTGAAATCTCGAAGATGACGGGGATATTTCAACCGTTCCATTGTCTTAACCGGTAAAGGTGCGAACTTGTCAATGTTTTTCTCAGCCCCTTACCTTGAGTGTCTGTCAATGCCAGTTTGTGTTTTTGCTCTGTTCATTTCCACTATTGTTATCAATACGTTTATTCTACGGTGTAAGTAAGGACAGTTGGATCCGTCATATTTCAGAGCTCGGAATCTGGGTGACAAACTGAGTTGAACTCATGACCAAACCGATCGCAGATGTACCTCGTCGCTTGGAAAGTTATACGGACATCACTAACTCTTGCGTATCACGGTCACGAACAAGCGTAGCAGCTCAATTACGCAATGGCGCACTACAGCCGAAAAGAGCCATGTGAAGGGGTTGACCTAGATATTAATGTGAGTGACCCTTATTTATCCTTGCTTTTGAGTCTGATCAGCATGGAATCCTACCGCAAGAAAGGCAAGACAGAAACAAGAAATAGCCCAGACTTATGGTGCAGAGTGGAAATTCCCGGGTGGATTAGCGCTGGTGGTCTGTGAAGCCGAAGACGCTAAATCTCCACCTGGATGTGCCGAAAAAGGAGAGTCACTCAATGAAAATGTGGTTTCAAACTAAACCAAAAAGAAACGCATTTGTAACTTAAACCCCTTGTTGGTAAGGGTATTTCGTAAGTAGCTCACCTGAGGGATCGGATACTTCAGTTGCAACACATTGACTTCATCAATCAGTTGCACCGGTAAACGGTTCGGAAGCACAATCATCTGATCCACTGTGTTGTGTATGATAGTACTCAAGGTTTGCCTGTAGCAATTTAAAGTACATGGGTGAGCACTAGAAAAATTCCACCGATATATGTTATGTTCGTAGAAGGCAAAACGTGTTGGGAAAGCGTTAAAAATGACAGTTACCTCACCTTTTTAGTCACAATAAGAGCGCATGCAGATTTGGACGCTCTGACAACTTCTTTAGAAGTCGCCGGTGCTTTACAGACGAAATTTTTAGTCTAATCACAAGAAGACGCGCCTGACCTAATTAACAAATAAGCACCTAAAGCGTGTGTGTCGGCCAGAGAGGGTGTCGTCGAGCAGTTGCATATGAAGCGAAGAACATCAGAAACTGCTGCTGCTTGGAGAAACTATCCAACTAGTGACAAGTAGAAATCCTGATCCCAGAGGCCTCGATATAGTGATACTGGAGTTCCAATAAAAGCCGCGCTTTGTTAATTCACAAGAAGCAAAACTGAAGAAAGTAAATGGGTCAAATTGGATGGTACAGGGAAGGGGAGCAAAGCATTGCTGCTCAGGGGACTCTACGTAATATATATTTTGTTGTCAAGTCGATAAATGAACCACGGAATATGAACAAAGTATAGGATGGATCAATGGAGTCTTTGCAGTTGATCAATCCCTGGGGCCTAGTAATCCTTCCATCGAAAAGTTTCAATTTATTTTCGAGCCCCATTTTTATTTGCTTGCTTGGTGCACCCTGTGAAGACTCAGCGCTAACATGCTAAACCTAGTTAAAGGCCGGCTCCTGGGACTCAAAACGAGTGGTGTGGTCAGTCAACTAATTCCAGCATGAGAAGGATCAAGCGTAAAGCGCCCAAAAAGTGGATGTGTCGGCGCCCAGCAAGGCAACCCGCTCCTGTGGTTGTATACAAGAAAAAAGGGAGTTAAACGGTTTAGCATATGTTTGGACAATGCAGAAGTACCCAACCCCATGTATGAGTGCAGTTGCAAGCTCGGAGCGCTGAGTTTACAAGCCTAACTTCACACCACTGCCGTCCAAAGAGTTTGCTACTTGTCCTCTAGAGATTGTGAGTCCCAAACACATTTTACTTAACTTTTCTTTGAAAAGTGATAAAAACACAGGTATACAGGACTGGTAGGACCAAAAAACGTTACCAGTGTGACAAAACCATAAAATTTTAGGAAAAGAGTAAGATCGGCTAGAAGTTCATCGGAAATACGAGGGGTGTTCAAAAAGAAGCCGAACTTTTGAAATAGCGCGCCAACCGGCATAGGGAGCGCGCTGCGGCTACTGAGTGCAGGTGGAGGCTTGTTTAGACAACAAACTGTCACTTGCCGCATTTCGCTCTGACTGTTAGTTGGCGAGCTACAATCACTGAAGTGAGCACGTGCACAAGCTGTTCGTCGGATTAGTGCCGAAGAGACAATGAAAGAGCTTGAAGAACAACTTGTGTGTGCAATTACGCTACAGAGATATTTCAGTTGCTTAGCCATTCATACGGAGAGGACACTGAGTCGCACGCAGTGATATAGGTGGTTCAAGTGTTTTGAACGCGGCAGAATGTTGGTCGGTGGTGATCCCAAGCCTGGAAGACTCTTCACAACAACAGACGATGACCATGTCGGAAGAGTTCGTGCTGTGATCCTCGTGAATTAATTGTTCGAGAAGTTGCTGACGAAGTGGGCATCAGCGTAGGATAATGGCATCAAATTCTAGCGCGTTTAAGGGATGCTGTGCGCAGGAAGAGGCCTGAACTGTAGTAAAACCAGACGGATGTTGTAACATGACAATGCGCCGGGTCACGCATGGCTCCTTGCCCGCAGCTATCTAGTAATACGTCACACTACCATTGTGCCAGATCCACCGTATTCTCCGGATCTAGCCCCAGCAGACTTTTCATTTTTCCCACAGTTGAAATCATGTTGGAAAGACGCCGGTTCCAAACTATAGAGGAGATTCAGGACAATGTGACAAGAGACCTGCGCGCAAGCACAGAAAGTGCGTTCCAGGTTTTCTAAAAATGAAAACACCTTTGAGAATGGTGTATTTTTAGAAGGGGAGACTACTTTGAGGGACAAAGTGCTCAAATGTTGTGCAAGGAGCAGGAAAATGTTATAGAAAAAGTTCGGTTGCTTTTTGAACACCGCTCGTATATCCAAACTAGAGAGGTTGCCGCTTTGAAGCCAAATGGAGCCTTTAACATGACTTCGCTGTCGTTTAGTTAATCCATTCATACTCTTGATGATTACCTGCTTGTTTTATGAAATCTTCCTTTTTATCAATCGCATTGATACCTCGGAGTCTAGCGAGAGATTTTACCATTTGGGAAACAATAATGAAAGATCTGATGTACTTGCTTTGAGGAAAATTTGAAAGTGGAGCCTTACGCAGGAAGAGTCTATTGTTGAACAATTGGTTGCGATGAACCTCGGCTTTAACCTCATTTTCCGCACTGCGATCCCTTCACGGCCACTCACGGACCAAATCTAGAAATAATCATGGGCCAAAATATTCACCCTATATTACCGAATACAGGCCGATGAATTTTGGACAGTTTTTCGCTTCTGCAGATCGGTTTATAAAAAAGCTATAAGGAATTTGAAAATAATCACACGCGAAATCAACCCAGAAATTCACCGACCACCACTGCCCTTACCTCCCCTTAGCACCACCCTCTAGTGACGGACGATATTCCAGACGGGGATTTGAAGTGTCTATAAACGGACGCGTTACTTTGTGTCGAAATTTCTCGGCATATCGCATATTTGACGTTCGCAACGGATGGCAGTAGCGAATCAATAGTCCTAAAACATTATGTTATGCCAAGCAATTCGGTGCCTTAAAAGTACTACGTCGTCCCCACCCCTGACCATGAATTTCACTCTCGCCTCAGACTATGTCTGACACCCTATATTGTCGGCTGTCTCGCCTGTTTCATGTGAGTTAACGTCTGGTCAATACACTGTCCAGTACGGTGATAGTCTGTTCTGACGGCTATACACCACAGTAACTGCGATCATAACACATTTCGACCACCATAATGGACCAATACTGGAGCAGGTTTCACTTGAACTCACTCAAGTGATGACGTCAAAATGGTGGAGAAATAATTTCGTTTCTCTTTTGCAGATTTTTTAGTAGTTGGCTAATACAGAGACTGGAAAAAGTTGATACTGCAAAGTTATACTGTCGTCCTATCTATGGACAGGATTATATTCGGTAATATACGGTACATCTATTTGATTTGTGAATGTCGCTGTACTACCCAGTAAAGTGAAGCCTGACAGTGGCAAGTTAACTCAGTTATTATTTCGTTCTTTCTGACCTTGTTATTTCAGCTACCTACTCTGTTGACTGCATATCAAAATGTGAAGAAATATACTATCAGCACCATTATTATCGTGAAGTAGATTGAGTAAGAAAAACAGAGAGTAGAATAACAAGGATGAAAAAACAAAGCCATTTGCGGTAGGCGCAAAGTGGAAAAAACCGGATGTAATTTTTTAATTTATGCAAAGAAAAAACAAAGGTGAGCTTGGCAAAGTACACAGTAGTACACAGTTAGCGGTTAGTTCAGGAAACGGTTAAAAGAAAATTTCCAAACGGCGAGGTGTTTCGGATACGATCCTTGTGATCGGAATGACCGAGATCTACTTCAAAGTGAACCGAGGTTTCAGTAGAGACTGCCTGTCGGGTACTCCGAATCCAACGTTAAAAATCGGGATCGATGGAGTTCTGGGTTTCGTAGACGTAAGCGGATCGAAACAACTGTTCCGTCATTTCAAACAACAGAAGTCAGTGCGTGTATTTCTATAAGCGATGGTATACCTTGTATGGTGCATCAAGCAGTACATTGGCCGCAGGGGAAGAATGTCTTGGATAGACTCGGTGAGTTGACGGATACGTGAATGACAAAGCGGGCAGATGTAGAGTATACTCAACTACTAACCCGCCTATTTCTGTGCTACGCATAGAGCACGAGCATCCCTTTTCATTTCAATGATAGCTAAGACCCAATGTGAGTCACTGAGTACAGCAGCGAATGGCCAGCTGTCAGACATGCAGATATATATATATATATATAATGTATTCAACACTATACTAATTACAATATAATAGGCTGTGTCACAACACATAAGACATGCAGACAAAAAGAAGGAATCCAACGCGATGCGCTTGACGCAAGTAGGCGACAAAATGGCCCTATACAGCCTACGTAAAATGCTTTGTTCGAAAGAATTCCTGCCAAAAGTAGCAGTCTCGTCAGATTAAAACTCTCGGATGCAATTATCCTTAACATACAGGTGAAACTTAGTTACGCTGACATCGCTATTGTTACCAGCACCGTCATCACCATGCGCATGTTTGCTAAATGAACAGGGGGCTTATTAAATGGGCGATGTAAAAATAAATAACGTGGGCATGTAATGTGAGACTATGGCTATTCACCTTAACTCCATCACGAAAGCAAATGGTGACCGCACGACAGTGTGAACTTCACTGCGAACGCCAACGACAGGCTCGATTCACTGAATCAAGCCTCAGGTCCATATTTCCAAGTATATACAAGTTTGACTTAGTTGGATCCAGCAAGTTTTCTCCGCTGATAATTGACAATACAACCCGGCCACCAGCTGCAACGGGAAAGAACGGTACGCTCGTAGTTACTGGCCGTTTTTTCATTTGGTGATAGTTCCTTTCAACGTGTTAGTTGAATTCGATTACCAGATTAACGAGCAAAAGCGGCAGGGTGATGCGATAGATTGGTGTTCCGACTGCATCGCGTTCGATATCGTTTAATGACTTGCGATTGGTCTCACTTGAGGGTGTTTTTCTAACCTTCCAACTTGCCACCGCTATCCATACCAAAGTTAAAGCGGAAGAAATCGCACTGAACACGTGTTTCCAAGTACGAGGTGCTCTGCGTGCGCAATATAAAGGCGCGCATTTCCCCTTTAATAAAGAGTAGTTTGCAAAAATTTACCAGGAAGCCGATGTGTGGTCTAGTCCAATTGCAGTTCAGTAGGAGCATTTTAAATGATGTACAATTG